CAAGAGATTTGGAAGACAGCTACCTGGCCAACTGACTGAAAGAGATCCATGTTTGTACCCATTCCAAAGAAAGGTGATTCCACAAAACGTGGAAATTATCGAACAATATCATTAATATCTCATGCAAGTAAAATCTTACTGAAGATAATTCAAAAACGATTGCAGCAGTATATTGACAGTGAACTTCCAGAAATGCAAGCTGGATTCAGAAGAGGATGTGGAACAAGGGATATCATTGCTGATATCAGATGGATCTTGGCTCAAAGCAAAGAATACCAGAAAGATATTGTCTTGTGTTTTATTGACTATGCAAAGGCATTTGATTGTGTGGATCATAACAAATTGTGGATAACATTGAGAAGAATGGCAATTCCCAAACACTTGATGGTACTCATGAGGAACCTGTACATAGACCAGGAGACTGTTGTTAGAAGAAGAAGAAGGGAGTTTAAAATCAAGAAGGGAGTACGTCAGGGTTGTATCCTTTCACTATACTTATTCAATTTTATGCTGAGCAAATAATCTGAGAAACTGGACTATATGAAGAAGGACGTGGCATTAGGATTGGAGGAAGAATCATTAACAACCTGAGATACACCGATGACACAACTTTGCTTGCTGAAAATGAGGATGACTTGAAGCACTTACTGATGAAGATTGAAGAACACAGTCTGCTGTGTGGATTATATCTCAACATAAAGAAAACCAAAATCCTCACAACTGGTCCTATAAGCAGCATTACGATAAATGGAGAAAAGATTGAAATTGTCAAAGACTTCACATTACTTGGTTCTACAATCGATGCCAATGGAAGCAGCAGTCAGGACATCAGACAACGTATGTTGTTGTTGCTGTTGTGTGCTGTCGAGTTGGACCTGACTCATAGTGACCCCTCCTTGGGTTTCCTAGGTGGTATCACTATGGAAGCAGATTGCCCAACCTTCCTTCTGAGGAGTGGCTGGTGGGTTTGAACTGTCAGCCTTCTGGTTAGCAGTCAAGTGCCTTAGGCCCTACACTACCAGAGCTTCTCAGGCAACATATACTGGGCAAATTGGCTGTAAAGGACCTCTTTCAAGTGCTGAAGAGCAAAGATGTCTCCTTGAGGACTAAGGTGTGCCTCATACAAGCTGTGGTATTTTCAATCACCTCATATGCATGTGAGAGCTGGACAATGAATAAGGAAGACTGAAGAAGAATTGATGCTTTTGAGCTGTGGTGTTGGTGAGGAATGCTGAAAGTACAGTGAACTTCTAAAAGAACTAACATGTGTGTCCTGGCAGAAGTGCAGTAGAATGCTTCTTGGAGGTGAGACTGCCCAGACTTCGTCTGACATACTTTCGTTGTGTTGTCTGAAGGGACCATTCCCTGGAGAGGAATGTCATGCTTGGTAAGGTGGAGGGTCGACAAAAGAGGTAAAGACCCTCCACAAGATGGATGGACAGGGTGGCTGTGATGGGCTCAAGTATAGCAAGAATCATGGAGCTGGCTCAGAACTGGCCAGTGTTTTGTTCTGCTGTGCATAGGGTCACTATGAGTTGGAGATGAGTTGATGGCACTTAACAACAAGAACAATAGGGAACTCTTTGGGGGATGCTTTATGATGGATAAAAGTCACCTAAGAGAAGTGAAGCACAAACAGGAATGGGCCAGAGCTAAAATTATAGCCACTGTGATGTATAAGGGTGGAACCAGAGGTCCTCAATCCAGCAGACATGGGTATGGCACCCCCAAAGGCTCACGATTCTTGGTTCGTGTAAGAAAGAACATTCTTCATTCTTGATCACATCTTCTAGTGTCAGTGTGGCTTATATTGTATAGGAGAAGTGGACAGGGACCAATGCTTGCTTGAGCACACACTACGTGCCTTCCCCTGCACAAGACACTTTACATGCTGACTTCTCTATCTATTTATTATCTGTTTGTCATCTAGGAAGTCATCTCCAACTCTATCCTCAGTAGGATCCAAAGTCCAGAGTGCCTTACAATGGATTCATAATTTGTATTTATTTATTTGCAGCCAGATCATTTCCAACACAAACTTTGACCTGGTTTGTGAGAAAGGAGTCCACATACTGCACCTTGTAAACAAGAAAGTCACCTGAGGAAGACCGGAGCTGCAATGAGCTCGCTGGCCCCACCACTGAGAGCCCTGCTCCACGTGTTGTCTGGGGAGCTGCAGCCCTTCCATCCCTGGAGGTAAAGGATGTAGGACTGTCCATGAAGGGTGGCTGCCATTGATGCTGGGGACATAGGTGAAGCCATCTTTGAGGATTCCTTTTGGGTTTCCAAGGCGGTAAATCTTTACAGAAGTAGATTGCCCAGTCTTCCTTCTATGGAGTGGCTGGTGGGTTTGAACCACCAGTCCTCTGGTTAGCAGTCAAATGCCTTAGGCACTACACCACCAGAGCTCCTTAAGGGAGATAATGGTACTGCTTAAAGTCTCTGTGCTCAGAGAAGCTCACTGATAGGTTGTTGGTGGTGAGGATGTGCAAGTAGATGGCTTTGCAGTGGTCCTGGAGGGTGGTTGATCTGTACTCCTTCAAACTTCCAAGTAAAAGGGAACCTATGCCATGTTTCCAGAATTCTTTCTCTGCTCCCAGACATAGGATGTACGTCATTTGAGGTTGGCAGAGAAGGTGGAGGCTAAAAATACCTCCATCCTCTTTCTGTGTCTTGGGCCTGCTTTTGACCCCAGCTACTATCGTCCCCACGATGGTGCCTCTAAGCTGCAGCAAGAGGAAAGACCTTATTGGAGGTGATGTCACAGCACCGTGAGCCTGGGGACTCATCGGAGAACCGGTCACCGCAGAGGTGCTTCACAGTGTCTGTGTCGTCACTGCTGACCTCGCTGAGGATGCTGATAGCTTCACTTCTGTCACTCACAACCTGGGCAGAGCTGGCGATAGCAGAGGGAATTGTGGGGCTGAGCATATCCTGGGATAACAGGAGGTGGGGAGTGTGGCTTCAGGTTCAAAGAGGAAATAAGAATGGGAAGAAAAGTCAAAGGTTAGCAGGGATGAAATTGGTCCATAAAATCTGGACTCTGGGCTTCAGGAGATTTACCAGGGGAGGGTCATAAATTCAGTTTCAGCCTCATTAGCAGCCAGTGCTGAGGGACACAAGGTCAGGCACAGGATTCAGAGTGTTCGCAGGTGAAGTAAACCAGCTGCTCAGAAGCTGGTACTGGGCTGAGAGCAACACAGTGATGTCTGGCATGAGGCTCAGAGAACGTTCCCCAAGGATCTTCAGGAACACGGCACTGAATGAAGGGTAAGTGCTGTCCTTAACAACATTCTCACAGTAACTGCCGTGGGCGGTTTCTTACCCAGTGTGACCAGTGGCCACTGAGTTGATTCCAGTCATATTAACCCCATGTGTGTCAGAGTAGAACTGTGCTCCACAGGGTATCCAGTGGCTGACGTTTCAGAAGCCTCAGGCCTTTCTTCTGAGGCACCTCTGTGTGGACTCAAACCACTGACCTTTTGGTGAGCAGTTGAGTAGGTTCACCATTTGCATCCCCCAGGATCCTGTTTCTTATAGAATCACTGAATTCAGGCAAAAGACTTCACCCCAGAATGAAAAATCAGTCACACATCTTTTAGGGGGCAAAACCCACTACTGCCAAGTCAATTCTGACTCATGGCAGTACTTTAGGACAGAATAGAACTGTCCCACAGGGTTTCTAAGTTGTGAATCTTTACAGAAACAGACTGCCACATCTTTCTCCCATGGAGCAGCTGGGGATTCAAATCATTGACTTTTTGGTTAGCTGCTGAGTGATTTAACCACTGCACCAATGGAGTCCTTTTTTAAGGGGAAGAGTGATATAAAAGGTAGGTTACTTAGGAGCATGCATGGATTTTAAGGGTCCAGGTATTCCTCCACAAGTACTTTGTTTGCCTCTCAATCAAGCTTATGTTACTTTTGGGTAGTGGGCCCTGGTGTTCTGCTTTATACTGCTAATGATGTGCAGAGGGAGCCTTGATGGCACAGTGGTTAAGTGCTCATCTGCTAACCAAAAGGCCTGTCGTTTGAACCCACCAGCCACTCCTGTGGGAGAAAGCTCTAGTGGTGTAGTGATTAAGGCATATGGCTGCTACCAAAATGTTGGTGGTTTGAACCCATCAGTTCTCCGTAGAAGAAAGATGAGGCAGTCTGTTTCCATAAAGATTTGGAAAGATTAGTGACCCAATGGGGGTCACTATGAATCAGTATCTACTTGATGGCAGTGTATTTGGTTTTTTGGAAACCCTATAGCACAGTTCTACTCTGTCCTAGAGGGTTGTTATGAGTTAGAATCAAGTTGACAGCACACAACACCAACAATGTGTAGGCTGTCAGCTTGTACAGTCATCCTAGTTGATCTCTTCTCACCCTCCAGTCAATGCTGTGAGGTAAGTACTTTGGTTTGCATTTTCAGTGGAGGCAAAGAGGGTTAAATAACTTGCCCAAGTGGCCCAGCTAGTAAGCAGCAAATCTAGGTTCCAAACTCAGGTTGGTCTGATTCCAAAGCTGTGGTCCTTCCTTGCACCTACCTGCTCAGATTGTCTTCCCCAAGTGCACAGGCCAGGATTTTATTGCTTTCAAAATGGCTGCCTAACAGCTTCCATTCCGATACCAGGGCTACTTCTTTACTCCACCATAGTCCCCAGGAACATGGAACAGCCCGTTCTTTTGGCTGGAAGCAAACCAGGATTAATGTTATCCTGGCTGATCAATAGTCCCTCCAGGTAAATAGGCCTGGGAAAGGGTAAAAGGAAGGCGTTCCAGATCTTACAAAATGGCGGCTGAGCAGCTTCCATTCCGACACCAGGGCTGCTTCCTCACTCCACTATAGTCCCTGGGAACCCACGGAACAGCCTGTTCTTTTGGCTGGAAGCAAACCAGGAAGAATTTTAATATTTTCTAACCAGGCCTCACCCTCCTAACTCTTGCCTTTGTTTGCAGATCTCAAGTTTTCCAAACCCAAGCCCCTTGATTGACTGTGGGCAGCTGCCAAACACATCTGGCACAAAGGAAGTCCAGAATAGCAGTCAGTCATCCAGGTGTGGGTAGACCCAGCCAATGGGTCATCTCCGGTCATCTGTGCAGCCCTCTGATTGGCGGAGGCCTGGCCCTCCTCCCCCCCTTATCTTTCTAGCCTTCCTCCTGAGGACAGGCAACCAGGGAGAGGCTGAGGCGAGGGCCTGGGCCAAACATTTGGAAACGCTTGCCTTGCAAAGATTCAGCCAAGAAGGAGATTTAAACATTTCTCCAACCCACACAATTCAGGAAAGCTTAGCCTGGAATTTCCTAATTTTTATGCTTAATTAAGATAAAGTGTTGTAGAGAGAGTGCAGAAGAACTTTAGTTTGGTCTGCAGAGTTAGGACTCCCCACGGACCACTCCCCCTGCCCCTCCAGCACAGGAAAGCTGGTAGAAATCTTGGATGCTCCAGGAAAAAACTGAATAGATGTAGAAATAGCCTAGAAATGGTCCAGAGAGGGGAAGTGAGATGTCCATGATTACACAGCGAGTTAGTGTCCAACTGGGACTTTTAACTGTGGGCCTCAGGACCAAGCTTGTTCTCATTTTCAGCCTCTCGAGCCTGACCATCAAATGGAAGGTGGGGTGCAGGGTGGAGGGTGCAGGAAGAACAAGGGGAGGGGTGCAGAGTGCCAAGGCTTGTTCAGAAATTGTAGTCATTACTCAAGTATTCAGGAGCTCTGGTGGTGCAGTATGGAGCTCTGGTGACACTGTGGTTAGGGCACTGGGCTGCTAAGCAAAAGGTAGGCGGTTCAAACCCATTAGCTGCTCCCTGGGAGGAAGATGAAGCAATCTACTTTTGTAAAGATTTACACCATCAGAAACCCCACGAGGGTCACTATGAATTGGATTCAACTCGATGGCAGTGGATTTGGTTTTGGGTTTGGTGGTTCAAGTGGTTTGCAATTGGCTGCTAACCCAAAGGTTGGTGGTTTGAACCCACCCACTCAGACGCTCCAGAGAGGAAAAGGCCTTGTGAATTGCCTCCATAAAGACTGCAGCTAAGAACCCTATGGAGCAGTTCTAGTAAGTCACTTACAGGGTCACCATGAGCCAGGCGCCAACTCAATGGCAGTTAGTGGCAACAATATCCGAGTATTACATCCCTGGTTGGCACAAATGGTTTGTACTCGACTGCTAACCTGGATGTTAGTAGTACGCACCCACCCAGCTGCATGGCAAGAGAAAGGCCCAGCAATCAGCTTCTGTAAAGATTGTTGTTGTTAGATGCCATCGAGTCGATTTTCTATTCCTGGTGACCTCATGTGACAGAGTAGAAGTACTCCATAGAGTTTTCTAGGCCATAATATTTATGCGAGCAGATAGCCTGGTCTTTTCTCTTGTGGAGCCACTGGGTGGGTTCAAAGTGCCAACCTTTGTTGGGTTAGCCACTAAGAACTTAACCATTGCACCACCAGGGCCCTTTCTGTAAAGATTATAGCCAAGAAAATGCTATGGGCTGTTCTTTGTAGCCCCTGGGTTAGCTGAGTATTGCTGGCTATTCATATCCAGAAGATGTTATTGATTTGCAATTATTCCGTTGTTTAAGGTCAAGCTCAAATTAAGCCAGTCTGTGGGCCAGCCTTGGCTGGGAGCTTATGACACTATTATGTGTCAACCAGTCCATTAACACTGAGTCTGCACTACCATTTGCATGTTGCTGTTGCCATTCTTAGATGCCATTGAGTTGGTTCTGACTCATGTCCACCCCATGTACAACAGAACGAAACACTGCTGTTTGAGCCCATTGTTATGGTTAATATGTCAGTTCATCTCACTGAGGGTCTTCAATGTGTTGATCTCCTACTTTACCAAGCATAATGTCTTTCTGCAGAGACTGGTGCCTCCTGACAATGAGACTAAAACATGAGTGAAGTCATGCCATACTAACTTCTGAGGAACATTCTGTCTGTATTTCTTGCCAGACAGATTTGTTCATGGTTTACTCAACATTCTGCCAACGCCGTAATTCAAAGGTATCAATTCTTCATCAGTCTTCTTTATTCATTGTCCTGCTCTCACATGCACGTGAGGTGATTGAAATGATGGCTTGAGTCCTCAAAGTGGCCTTTTTACATTTTATTTTTATTTTTTTAACTTTTTATTGTGATTTGAGTGAAAGCTCATCTGCTTTTTAACACTTCCAAGAAGTCTTTTGTGGCATGTTTGCCCAATGCAATACATCATTTTATTTTTTGATTGTTGCTTCAATGGGCATTGATTGTGGATTCAAGAACAATAAAATCATTGAAAACTTCAGTCTTTTCTCTGTTTATCATGATGTTGCTTATTGGTCCAATTGTGAGAATTTTTCTTTTCTGTGTGTTGAAGTATAATCCATACTGAAGACTAGTTTTGACCTTTATCAATAAGTGGCTCAAATCTTCTTCACTTTTAGCAAGCAAGGTTGTGTCATCTGCACATCACAGGTTGTTAATGAGTCTTCCTCCAATCCTGATGCTCTGTTCTTCTCCATATAGTCAGCTTCTTGGATGATTTGCTCAGCACACAGACTGAATTAGCAGAGACATACCTTGGTTTATTGTGCTTTGCTTTATTGTACTTCACAGATACTGCATTTTTTAACAAAACAAATTCAAGATTGGTGGCAATCCTTCATCCAGCAAGTCTATCAGTACCATTTTTCCAACAGCAGGTGCTCACTTCTTATCACTGTCATATTCTAGTCATTCTCATAATATCAAACTTTTTCATAATGCTATTTCCCACTTAATGGACTAAAATATAGTGTAAGCGTAGATTTTAGATGCACATGGAAGCCAAAAAATTCATGTGACTCCCTTTGTTGCAAATTCACTTTAATGCAGTGATCTAGAGCCATACCCATAACATCTCTGAGATAAGCCTGTACGGTGAAAGGATACAAGCCTAACACACACCTTTCC